TTTTCTTAAAAATGAAAAGGCTTTTTTAAAAAAAAAACATCGATGTTGTGCTTATAACAGCTCAATTTTATGTATGTCTATTCAGAATTAAGCCTTATTAATCTGATATAAATGGATATAAGTTTCAGCCTAAATTCTCTGAAGTGGATCATAGAAAGGAATGTTTTAAACAAATGCTGTTCCATATAAATGGGTCTCCCAGAAAATATATTAAATTAAATTTAAAAACAGATGAATAGGCCATATTAGCCATATTTTAATAACCATTATCTAATCATGAAAAACTTGAATAATTTATTATAAGATTTCTGCAAGCAATTATCTCCTGGATAAGCATACAAAATAATGTTAGACTTCTTTTTAAAATGGATATTTTATATACCTTCTGCAGTAATTAGAAAATTATCTACTTTGATTTTAAATAATTTTAACCTGTACTATGATGTCATTTAAATACTACACACCATAGATATAAAAAAGAAATGTTCAGCCTGAGAAGCAGTGAATCCACAATGTTAAAACTGTTTAAGAAACAGTCTGCTTTAAGACAATTTAATTACCGTAAATGCCGGCGTACAAGGCGACCCGGCGTATAAGACGACCCCCGCCTTTATAGCAGGGCCGCATTCCTAGAACGTCGTCTTATACACCGGAAACTACCAGTATTTCCGGCGTATAAGACGACTCGGCGTATAAGACGACCCCCGTCTTTGGCGCCAATTTCAGCACTCGCGGAAGTCGTCTTATACGCCAGCATTTACGGTACCTGAGACTTGCCATTTGAAGACTGCTTCTAAAATCATCTTTAGGATCACACTGAAATTGGAAGAAATATAGATCCTGCTAGTTTAATGGTCTGTTTCTTGCTTTAGATACATTTAGAAATGTGCACAATAATGTTATTCAGATACTGAAATGCTGAACTGTCATTTTAATCAGAACATTCAAATCAAATTAAATGTTTTTATCATAAAGGCTCAACAAAAAATCAAACTGGTTTCTTTGGGCACATATTGTATACCAATATATTGGTATCTTTGCCCTTTTGCTGTGAGGTGACAGTGATTAATTTAGAAAAGGAGATTGTGGAATTAGTAATGCAGATGCTGAAAGGCAAGTGGCAAGACTTTAAAAGAAGATTATCTGCAAATATGCTACTTGTTCCCCACTCTACTGGCACTTACCCATAAGGTAAAAGTCCAATATGACCAAAGCCAAATCAATGGTAGTGTGCAGAATGTCAGCCAAACAAACAACATAAAACAAATCATATGTTATCTGTGGTCACTTCTTCAGGGTTAGTCCAAGAACTCATAACTTACATTCTTCTGTCCTTCCTTGTTTATTCAATTAAACATGTAATGGTTAATAAACTGACGTAGTCCAAAGTTAGTAGGTTGTATTATAACATTTATTAAAATAATGCTATGGGTTAATAGAAACAGCAAAGAACCAAAGAATTAAAATGCAAGCTATGTAAAAACCCAACTAAAACCCAAATATGTCTAATGTATTCAATCCAGTAGCTAACTAAAAGCCTAAGAAAGACAACACTCCCAATATAATAATAAAGTACTGCAAAACAATTAGCAATTTTCAGTTATCAAAATTGTAGGTTTTGCATTTTTGTATCCTTTTCTCAATCAGGAAAAATTATTCTGAATGTTATATAACATACATATAAAACAAGATAGAAAAATACATTATAAACTTGTAACAATGGCTGTAAATACATTATCTTACATGTTTCTCATAGGCAATAGGTTGGTTATGTTACATACATAGCATCAAACTAAGATAAAAGAATAGACAAATACATGTCATCTGTACGGTTACATACAAGCGACACTCCCATATACCCACTCTAAAAATTACATAATACTGTCAGAAAAAAGACTTATAACTACAAATTTTAAGAAAGAAAAATTCAATAAAGGATGATAATACTGAGAACCAAGGCATTCAGAGATTCAAAAGTCATGCTTTAAGTTGATCCAAAATGTTATCAACCAAGTTTTCAAACTTTTTTTCAGAACAAATATTACTTTTAGAAGTCACACTTCTCTCAAGAAGAGACCTCTGATCAGCATCTAAAAATGTCCAGGTTTATCACAGTTGAGATGAAACTGGATCAAATACTGGTAACGTTATAGCAATCCTCTCTCCAAAATGTTTGAGTGTCGCAAGTTTATTCAACCAAACAAAAATCAAAATGGCACAGCATATACCAAAAGTAAAACCAAATAAAAAATAACAAAAATGTTATGTAACAGGAAGACAAAGCCAGTGGCAGAATAAAAGGAAAGCTAGCTGCATACAAAAAGATGAATGTTTATTGCATAGTAAATAAACTGATACTTGTTTCCAGGTGAGACACAATGTTGATAAAGTCACCATGCAGATGCTTAAAAATAAGCCCTCTTATCTAACTTACTATTGACCTTTGATTTGGAAACTGTGAAGGTTTTAGGAGAATAAGCTGACACAATGTAAAGGGCAAGGTATCACCTGGTCTTTGCCAATTTGCTTCAAAGCTGTGACCATGTTGATACTGGCTCATTAATTTTACACTCCACTTTTGTGCGTAAAGTGTTTTTGAACACTAGTGTTAATTAATACTAATTCAGCCACACAAACGTCTTTTAAAAATTCAAACTGAACCACAGCTGGATTTTCCAAGATAGTATATCCTCTTTAATGGAAAGTGCAACCAGTAGTTAACATTCCTCAAGTAGAAGTTTCATGAAAAATCATGTAAATCCATACGCACTTGGCATTGTAGCTAAAACATCCAGAACTTATAACATGCTCAATCTTAATGTTTGATTAGTCATGGATGAAATTATATGGGAGCAAGTTTAAGTTCCCTTGTAGTTTCCTGCATCTAGTTCAATCAGAAAAAAAGATAACTAATCTCTAAATAATAATAAAAAACCCAAACACTTGCTATTCTATTATTACTGTAATCTTATAATTTGATTTTGAATGAAACTGTATCGTAGAACCCTTTGGTTTAAGGCTGAGCAAGTATTATAAAAATATATTGTCTACAATTGAAGAGGGAACATGTTACAAAAATATTGCAGTTGGCTGTTGGTGGAACAATTCTATTTCACAGTTTGGGATCTGGCAAGGTTGTATCATGCTGTGGCAAAAACCAGGTAATTTTAATAGTCAACTCATTTGTCTTTCCTCACAGCTTCTTTTCACATACTGGGCGGACTGAGTGGCATGCATTAACTTGCTGTCTTAGGGAGGAGCTGATTATACAACACACCTGACTAAATGACCATGAAGAAAATAAGGCACTTTCTTTTCTTTATACTTATTCCAATACTTAAAAAATAAAAAAAGAAAGACGAAAAGGCTCTTTTGGTCTTTTGTTTCTCGACAACCACCAGAAAAAAATCATTTAATGAAATAAAGGGTTTCTTTGTTCTTTTTTCGTTTTTATAACACTTGAAAGTATAAAATGCTACATTTCCAAAAATATATATTTCTTCTGCACCAGCACCCTTGTATAGTAAAAGTATCTACTTTTTTCAATTTGTTTCAATGCACTACACTTTATCTACAATTTCATTACATGTATACAGCAAATAGGCAAGCATGGCTTTTATATCCTTATGAATTTACTCTATACAGGGAGGCTTAAAAAAATATTTGAACAGTTTGCCCAGTAATGTGACACATAATGCATGTACCTTGTACTCATGTAATTTTTAAAAGGAAGTTAATGTATAGTAAAATAACTGTATCTCAGCATTAGCTTCGATAGGGTTGCTGTCTTTTAATGCATTGATGTGGTTCAAAAATTCAGTAATCTATTTTTCATGGCACTTTTTTTTTCTTAAAAACACCCAATTTGGCAGGTAATATAAAAAAGGCTGCATCTTCTGCCCTTTGAGGGCATTGGTAGTGATTACACTGCATGTCAAATTTTGAATACTTTTAGGAATCCCTTCACCAATGAGATCACTGACCAAAGGTTCATGCATGATGCATCATCACACAGTACATTCAAAGAGAGCTTTGACTTCTTTATGAGAAGAGTAAGATTCCTAGAAGTGTCACAGTAACTGCCTCTGACATCAGGGAGTTAAGGGACATCTGCTTCCATCTCTTAAATGAGGCCCTCCTTACCATTTTTAGGGTGGGACACTAAAAGATGATCAGTGCGGAAGGATGAATTGGACCTTATTGCTTTACTACTATTCAGTGCAGGTTCTAGAACCACTTTCACCCAAACAGGGAAAAAAAGCTGAGTTGGAGGACAACAAATTCTTTGTCTTTTTGTTAGATGGTAAGACGAACGGACAAATGCCTCAGCTCGCTGCACTGAAGACAGACAAGCAAAGGCGATTACCAGTTAACTGATCAGCAGGCAGGCATGGTCAGGTCATCATTGGGTGAAGAGTTCAGAGGTCAGAAGGTCATAGGTTAGTTGCCGGTGGCGGCTGGGTGGTTAGAAACAAAAAAAACAAAAAACAAAAAAAAACAAAAAAGAAAGAAAGATAGAGAAGAGATTAGTTTCAGCTAGTGACGGCTTAATGACAACATGAAAACTAATCACAACTAATAAAAACAAGCATGTTTAATTCTGACATACTGCTTGACACCATCTACAAATGCAATAAAAATCATGACAGTCTAGTATCATGATTTGAACATATGAAGGAGAAGCCCAGTTCCCACAAAACTGGTTAACAAGGAAAAATAGAAATAAAAATATAACTAATGGTTAGTAGCAGTCAATGAAAGAAAAAACAAAACAAAACAAAACAAAATGATGAACAATTTCTGGAACTTGATAAAAGAATTGAGAACAGTCAGTGCACCATATCAGTATCTGACTGCTATTAAGCATTAGTATTCTCCCATGTGCAAGCAATCAAAGCAACTAGTAATGATGAATGTGATTATTAATACTGACTGTTAAGAGAAATGAATCTAAGAAATTTGACTTGACATTTGATTTCACAAACTACGGGCCAAACAAGTTTTTTGTTCAATAAATTTTATTGCTTTTCAATGATTCTATTTACAATCAACACTGAACTTCTTGGCTTCATGATACAAAGCAATACTAAATTGAAGTCTAGAAGAGTAGGCATCGTTCATGGGAAACAGAAAAAGCCCAAATGTTCTAGCCATCTTTTTCCTTCTTTAAAAAAAACAAACAAACAACTATCTTACAGATATAGGACACTAAGAAAATGCACTTGTATGTAAACACTGTAAAAGTCCTGCCATTTAAAATTCTATATTTAAAATGCTCTAGTTACATCAAAAATATAGGAAATCTAATTGATACTAATAAGGCATTTTAAAAACTACAGTTCTTTTTTTCAAAGCTAATACTTTGCAAATACAATAAAATTTGACATTTCATATACATTCCTGCTTTATATTTTTATATTTTAAAAGAAGCCACCTGTAAATACTATTTTCTTTTCCAAAACACACAAATATTACAATAAAACATAAAAAAGTTCTCAAGTGGAAAGTTATCATTCCCATTTGTCTTGAGCTGTTTCTTCTTTAATCACTCTCTTTCTCATTCTCCTTCAACAACTTGGTCCACTTTACAGTAGTACAAATTTTAAGACTCATTCAACAGCTTTATTATCTCTAATAAATTCTGAGGTTTGATAAGAATATTTGTACTGTTGCCATTGACTAAAGCAGAGGAGATGAAAGTGAGAAAGGTGTTCAGTGCAAAGTCAGAGTTGTGCTATTTTAAAAAATGAATTCAGTAGGTGCAATGTTCACAGATAGCACATTTTTAAAGGCCGTACATCTTGGGTTGGCTTTATATTATTTCTATGGCCTATCATTTAGGCTACAGTTCATGAACTCTAAAACCATTACTGTTGTAACTTAAATGATACCTTATTTTCCCTGATTTTTTTTAAAAAAATGCTGAGAAGTGGGGTTTTAAATTAAAAAATATTGTAAAAAAACTTTAAATTAATAAATATTTAATGTGGCATTATCTTGCCACCATAAAAATGTGTATTAGATATCCAGAATCTTAAAGTGTTCTTGGTACTTACTACAATTTTGATTAATATGGTATTACAATTTGTAGATATAAATTATGTGAAAACTGGCTTTGAGAAAAACACTGTTATAGTTTCAGCACTGCCATTTCTTGTGTATTTAAATCAATGCAAGCTATCATAAGATACGAGTACACCTGTGATACATCCTCTGCCAAGTCCCTGACCATCTACAGTACACACAGGTTTGTCAAGTGTGCAACACCATTACAGTTTATTACAATTAAATCAGTCAGTCTCTCTGTTACACAAATTCAGTTTTATATTATTTATATGGCGGGGCTTTAGGAGAAATTATGTGATCTCTTTAATTCTCAGAGAAATGAATTCTGAAAAGTTGGGAGCTCTTGCTTTAAACACAATGCTTACATATAAGCCAGCATTTAGAATAAATTCTTTAATCAGACGATACAATAATGGGATAGTTATTTTAAAATCTCCGTTAACCAATGATCAAATTAATGCATATGCTAGCTTCAGTTAACTTCTCATAGTTTTTCTTAAGAACAGAAAGTGGTTCAGTTTATTGACATTGAATTTTAACACATATTGGACTGGACAATTATTCAAACATATGTAAAGCTATACAGTTAGGTTACAGTTAGGTTAAAACAATGGAATTTTCAACTTGGTTGCACGCAACAAATGAAACTTGAATGGGGAACCAAGTGATATAAATAAAAAAATCTATTAATGACAAAAACTAGTATAATCTTCTACTCTTTTAAACTACTGTCCACAATTCAAAACAAATAAACAAAGCCACCTCAGAGTTTGATGGAATCTGGAATTATTCATCATGTTCACTTATGTCACGTTTATCTGAATCATATACCACCATTAGTAAAACCAATTATTAGGGAGAAAATAGTCTATACAATGGTAATTATAACTAAGATGTACTTTGGAACAATCTACTACTAAAGTGCATGCTACATGCTCTCAAATCTTAATAAAATATAAATATATATCTTAATACAATGTCTGCAAATTAGTTTTAACAAATCTCTCCTAAACTTACACAACATTGTTTCTAATAACTGCCAACTCTAGATACAATTAAAAATTCAGTCACAAACTGAACTAGCGCCCAAACTTCAAAGTCTTCTAGATACAAAAACTTAAAAACTAGTTGATTCTCTGGCCCAGTAACTATCCAACACAGTTGTCTCAATCAGCAGTGAAATATGATTTTTCTCCCCATTCCAGTTGATATATCTGTCCTGATTCCGTTAACTTTAGATATCCACATGGGACCATAATTTGCAAAAGAGAAGAATCAATAAAGTGAGTTTATAGCATATTTTTTTCACATTAAACAACACTCACATGTGGCATCCAAGAAGAATGGAAGTAGGAATGCATGATCTTGCTCCCTCATTATATGTACAAAAGGTATTTTTCTCAGAAGTGAACATTCATAACGGTGATTCAATACAAACAACAATGTTTTTTTTTTTCAGAAAAGAAAATCTTTTAAAATACAATGTGGCATTTCTGAAATACTGCAGAAAGTACCTATCTAGTTTGGAATGTTTCTAACAATGAGCTCCTATGGCATGAGCTCAAGAACTGGTTAAAAGTTAAAAATAAAGGCACTGGTATTAATTTAGGATTTGAAATATCATTTTGCAATAAAATTTCTTATTATCTGAATTTATTCTAGTTCAATATTACAAATGTACTCCAACAACTAAAATTTTGCATTCTAATCAGACAATACAACCTAAGTTAATCCTCACAATACCTCTGTCAACTACAGGAGGTATATTGATATCACAACTGAATTGCCAAATTCAGAAACCAAAACAATATTACAGTGGAACAAATGTTCCTGAACTGTCATACTGCTTTCAGTAGTAAATTCAATGTCAATAAACCGAGAAGTCATTTCTCACAAGAAAAGAACATCATTCAAAGGCCTATAAATTTACAAGGAATGTAAATTGCATCATATAAAGGAGAAAATGAAAACTTATTTTCCCTTCAATAACCAAGCCAAGCAAGTTTTTTGCTTTGCCTACCAAAATATCAAAAGTACTAAGTTCAAAAAATGAATTTTAGTTGCAAATACATTTTTTAAAATCCTAGAAGCTAAGAAAACACACTCAAACTTGAGATATATCACTTTTACTCTCCTTGTTAAATGTGGAGATTTTAGGGCAAATGCCACAAACAACTTGTCAGCAGAGAGGAAATAAATCTTCAATTTTCTCCTGAAATAATACATATAGCACTTACTTCTACCTTATTAAGCACTCATCCATTCATTTTATTTTGCAACACCAATTTGAAATATCTCAAATTATTTAAGAGTCCCAAAGGAAAATCAAATGACCCAACAATATGACACCTACTAGAATTAAATCATAGTGCTCACAAAGGAAGTTATAACTTTGTATACTCAACACACTGAAGTGTGTGTGTGTGTGTGTGTAGATTTTTGATAGAAAGGGTACAGTAGTTTTAAATTGCCAGAAAAGAGTTATGTTCACTTCAATTTAATATAAACATCAATAAAACAGTCAAAATAGAATTTGATTAACCACTTGTGGTGTTGCAAATTTCCATGTACACTCAAAGCATTTCTTATAAGCAAGAACTGCAGAACTAAACTAACCTCTGTCTGCGGTCACAATCCTTTGGTAAGGATGGACACGCATATCGTGCCTTCGAACTTTAGTAGCCACCGCACCTAGTTAAATTGCAATTACCAAGACAGTTAGAAAACATTTGATAAAACATTAACAGCAGGCTTATTAAAATGGATTTTAAATGATCACTTTCTTAAAATACTATTTAAAGAAAGCAACATGTTAAGGCACAGTAGTTTCAAATTTTAACCTTAATATATGAATTATATCTGTGCAGATTAATATTGCATTTATTTTAAACATCCAGGCCTTAACCTGCATTCATTTACAAACTTGATTACAGTATTTCATGAAATCTACTAGACCCAAAGACAATTGAGCTTTACTAGTCACATATTCACTGAAGTGCCTTCCTTGCAGCAGGACTATCTTAAATAATGCCATTTTTAATACTGAAGGTTTTTTTTACAAATTTTTAAACAACTTCCAGTTTTTATCATTTAAAAAAATTATAACACAATTCCTCAAGCCTACAGACTGTTTTAAAAACTAAGTCAATAACTGTGAACTGCAATGAATTAGGTGATTAGTAAAGCAAATAGTACAGAATACATAGCAGTCAGTATACTACCATACACTCATAAATCACAGCTACCTTGCCATAGCACAGGCTACATCAAATTAATAGCATTTTTATTTCTATGTGCAAAAAAGTGCAAGTAAGTCACTGACTGCTAGGCTACATTTTTTTCAAGGCTGCTGAAAACTAAACATTTGTTAAAAGTCAGCTCTGATGAGGTTCATTTAAGACCATTCTTGAATTCTTAGCCTTTCGTTGGGAAAGCCATACCTAAAGATAAAAGGGAATTAAACATTAGTCAACTAAGATTTGATGCTACTGTCAATCCTTCCCATAAATTTCCTAATCTTCCTTAAATTATTTACACGTTTTTCCTAAATTACTTTTCTTTCTAAATCCTAAGATTTTGCCAAAAATATTAGTAAATTGGGGCTTTACAAATTGTTTGAAATAGTTTTCTTTCTTTTTAACAAAGGGGAAGGGGCACATACAAAGCACAAGTTCTCAAACAATTAAAGAGGACTCACTGGAGGAAATAGGCACGCATATGCATGCAAAAATAGCTGAGAACAGCTTATGAACTTAAACAAAAAGATGCAGCTGCTTTAACAATTAAAATTGATAAAGTTCTTACACAATCAAAAGAAAAACTTCAAATAATTTGCTGGCATTCATCACGAAAAATAAAGATGCATATTTCCATAATAATAGTTTTAACACTGTAGCATTTTAGAGCCAACATTTATTAACATATAGTTTATTAGACTTATACTTAATTTTCACAATATAGCAGGAAATAATATATAGCATTTACTTTAGTGATCAGTTTTCAACATCAGAAGCATAGTTTTGACTCTGATATTTTGTTGTAAGAAATGATTATACTCTCTATATTCATAAAATGTATTACATCACCTATTTCAGATTTGATTACTCTTCAGAGTCAAAATTAAAATAAATATTTACACAAAATTCTAAACATTAATTTAAATTAGTAAATCTTTAGTAAGGGTGAACTTAGCTGAAAATTAGTCATAAATTAATACTATGTATAAAACTACATTATTATATTTAAGTTATGATAGGTGACATAGATATCTAAAATGTCAGCATGTAAACATTTCAAACAGAAGCAGTAACTTTTTTTAAAAAATATTTTTTTAAAATTAAAAAATTAAAAATTATAGGATCGTGTCCTATTCTTTAAAAAATCCCTAACTATACAAGATTCCAACAGTCTAGCCCTAAAATTTAATTAACATCTTAATTGCATAGTTAACAATATTTAATGGCGTATTATAAATATCTATGGAAATGCTACATTCATCTTATTTCTGTGTGTTGAACCAAATGAAGTAATGTAAAAAGAAGCATTTATTAGTGATTATAAATATATCTAGACAAGCTAAAGTGTTCCTGAAAATACTATCATCTTGAAAAACTCAAAAAGGAAGTGAAAATGTGAAGCAGCAGATAAATACACAATTGCCCTGTCTTAACACTATTGTTAATTGTAATTAATTTAAAGTAACAGCTATTTTATGTAAAAAGAAGTCTGTTGTGATTACAGTAGTAGAATTGGTATTACAAAAATACTTTTTAATACAGTGAAATATAAAATAACTATGCTGTTTTTTAAATCCCAGAGAAAATGGGAACTGTAGATGTAGGCATGAATTTTAATGCTTTGCAACCAGGCTTAGAATTTTAGGTTAAAAAAAAAAATAAAGATATGGAATTAAATAACTGATTCAAGAGTTCAAATGCCTAGGGATCCTAAAAGGCCAACAGTTAAGCTGTACCATGGATTTCAATGGAAGAGTTTTGCATTCAGTAATACAGTATATTGTATAAAATTCAATCAAGCATGCTTTCACATGCAACTAATTTCTCAAACTGAAATCCATGAGATTTTATGTATGTTTTACTTGGACTATATTTTTGCTCCTGAATATAATCACCAGCAGTAACTACTTTTTAGTCAAGTATTAAAAATGACATAAAACATAATTCATTATGTACATTTAATATAGGAACAGAGCAAAAAAGTAAAATGAACAAAAAGAGCAATATCAAATTAACACTAACTTTTTCTAAGTAATACTAAAATAAAGCATTCATGCTGAAAACCAAGGAACCAAAGTATTAAGAATATCAAATATTTCAATCTCCTAATCTCCACTACAGAAAAAGAAAGTGCAAGTTTTCAAACCCAATATCCTTATTATGTCGGGACACACACTTGTTTTAAAAAGGGAAACACATTTCATTGACAAAAAAAAAAAAAAAATGCTTTCAGAATCTCCCCAAACATAATGGGGCAAGCCATGCTACCTATAATGCTCAATTAAACTGTCTTGGAGAAACTTACCTAATACCCCACTGGGTTCAATAGGATACTCAAGAATTGATGTAGCAGGTGCCAGTGTGTAGGGATATTCATAAGGTGTGTAAATTAAACCAGCTTCAGGTCCTTGGGGAACTATTGCAGCAGTTGGGTGAGGAGTTCCATTTGGCATGACAGCGGTCTGTATTTGTCTGATCAAAGGCATTAAGGTAGGGCCAGCTGGCGTAGGGGTACGCAGGGCAGCTGGTGGGAGAACAGGCGCAGGCCCTGTTATAATCCTTGGAGCCTGGGCTGTTGCTGCAAGAGAAAAGGCAAGGGCTGCTACAGTAAGCAAAGAAATTCAGAAGAAAGTATGGAGACAGTAGTGCAACACATGAAAAAATGGGGAAAGTAGGAAAGTAGGAAAGAAGAAAAAAAATAAAAGGAAACCATTAGTACATGCATTGATCACACAGTGCCAAAGCACACCATTCAAAAGCAACAGCTTTCCATTTCCCAGTGTGAATAAGAATGAACATGCAAAATAAAAGCCAATTTAAAATGGCAGAATAGATTTCTAAAACACAGGTAACACACAGCACAAAAGCTCAATGTAGATCACATATTTTTCATTACCTATGCCTTCAAGACTGCATGAGACTGAGAGGCATGCAGGAAACAAAGAAAATATTGTTGTAATTGCATATGGAATATTAAATAGTGAGATTTCAGCATCTACAGATATTCAGTGAAACTTAGATATACAATGTAATATTTCAGTTGCAACTTAACCAGTAAACATTCTATTAAGTGAGCAAATACATTATAAACATTTGTTGGTATCTCCTGCCCTTTTTCTGAACTATCGCAGCACAGGTGGTGACAAGGATACAGAGAACTTTACTGTGTGCCCTTTCTCCCATTCTAATATAACTAGAAAACAATTCTGTAACTTTTTTTCTCTTGAGACAGGTTGGTAATATAAAAAGTAAAATACAATAAACTGTAAGTAAAGATGAACATTTATGTTAATATATATGTTAACGCTATTTGAAAAATATTTAAATTGCAGTGAGTTCCTAGTTAAGCCTAGTTTTAATAGTTTATCAAAATAGAGCAAAATACTGATATATATATATATATATATATATATATATATATATATATATATATATATATATATATATATATATATATTAAATTGGGTTATGTGCAGGCAGCACTATTTGATTTTTGAAATTTAACATAAAGCTGAACTACTAAAACTATTGACTGATTAATAAAGAATACATAATGAGTCAACTCTGAAGGGAAAGAAAGCTGTAATTTAACAAAAGCAAATAAACAGCATGCTGGTCATGTTATGGGTCATTTAGTCCTGTCTTTCTGTGCAACCTCTTCTGACAGATTCCATTGTTATTTTCTACCCCAGTATGTTTTCCTAACATCACTTGTAAAGCTGTTATTTTACAAATACCATTCCTAGCAATTCACAAGGAGCATGTGCAGAAAAGAGGGGGATGCCTTAAACTGTCATTTACAGTTTAAAAGAACTGTAAATGACAATAGAAATAAAGCTGTGAGATACTGAAGTGTAGCCAATTCATCACAAAAAGGCAGGCTTCAGAGAATCATTCTTTCTCAGGACAACATAACCTGGTAAAGATATCTAAATTTGAAATAATAGAAAATATTTGTAGCTCAGGTTTTAGATTTTGGCAGTGGTTTGCTTCCTCCAACCTTGTTTCAATTTAGTTTCTGAATGTTTCATTACCAGACTAAGTAACATCAGCAGCAGGATTTTCTTGCCCTATTTTCCTTAGATTATAAATGTCTGCCAGTGTGGTCAGTTGGTTGTGTGATTGGTTGTTCGTTTGGAGCTATATTTAAATTGTGAGCAGCTGATTGGTTCTCTTGTTGATTGAAAGTTCGAAAGGTCTGGATTCTTATATATTCATATGCTGGCTCTAGATCAATATGCTTGTTAATTGTTCCTTTGGTAGAATACCAGGCTTCAATAAATTCACATGTGTGGCGGGTGTTGGCATGTGCAATGATTTTTGTTCCTTTCCAAATGATGGTGTTGTTTATTATCAATGTGGTTTGAGATCAGGGATTTTTGCTTGTGCCATTTAATGCTAGTTGATGTTCATGAACCCTTATTTCCAATTGCTTTCCAGTTTGTCCCACATAGAATTGGTTACAATTGTTGCAACTGATTTTGTATACTATGTTGCAGTTGTCTTCCTTTTGTATTTTGTCTTTGACTTTAGATAACTCTTTTCTGAGTGTAAATGTGGGCTATCATTATTCCTAAGGATTTCAGTATTCTGGCAGCCATTATGGATGTCCCTTTGATGTACGGCAGGACTTGTTTTTCTGTTGTGGCTGGCTGTGTATTTATCGGGGTTTGGGTAATAAGCATTGTATTATGAAATTTTGGGGATAGGCATTGCTGAGGAAAATATTGAAAAGGTGTTTCTCTTCTACTTTTCTTAATAATTCAGTGCTGCAGTGTGTTCTGGCTCTATTCTACCAAAGGAGCAATTAACAGGCATATTGATCTAGAGCCAGCATATAATGATGATGATGATGATGATGACGACAACAACAACAACGACAACAACAATAATAATAAAGTTGGAAGGGCCCTTGGAGGTCATGTAGTCCAAACCCTGCTCAGGCAGGAAACCCTATACCATTTCAGACAAATGGCTGTCCAGTCTCCAAACTTGCAGTGTTGGAGCATGCACAATTTCTGGAGGCAGGTTTTTCCCTGATCAATTGTTCTAACTGTCAGAAATGTAAGAAACCAGACCATTTGAACTACCAATCAACAAGAGAATCAATCAGCTGCTCAGAATTTAAATATAGCACCAAACAAACAACCAATCACACAAACAACTGACCACACTGACACACAAGACATTTATCAGCTAAAGAAAATAGGACAAGAAAATCCTGTTGATGGCGTTACCTAGTCTGCAGTGGTGGGATTCAGCCGGTTCACAGGTACAGTAGAACCAGTAGCTAATTTTTTGTTGACTTTGGCAAACCGGCTAAAGCCCTAGCCGAGAAAGGACAGTGGAAGTGCGTGGACGCCACTTCTGGAAGTCTGTTCTGAGCCAGGGAGGCCTCCCAGGCCCAGAACGGTCCACCAGAAGTGCATGGATGCCACTTCCAAAAGTCCATTCTGTGCTGTGAGGCCTCCCAGAAGCAGCATCCATGTAGAGAACCGGTTGTTCAGGTATTTGAATCCCACCACTACTAGTCTGGTAACGAAATGCTCAGAAACTAAATTGAAATAAGCTTGGAGAGCAAACTACTGCCAGAAGGTATCTAAGTTGCCAATGTTTTTTTTAATATGATTCATATACTCATTAATTTGTAGATATTTTAAAATACTCTGGCATCTCCTAGCATGATGGAAATGTAAATCCTAAAGCGGTTATACTAGAAAATGGTGATGCTTTATGATAAATCTAGCAAATATTTCCATAAACAACAGCAAAGGCATGGCAAGATTACTTCTTGAAACTATGAGAGGTCTATCATTGCCTTGGAGCATAAAATCTAAAATCAAAAAACATATCACTAAAAACATGTCAAAATCATCGTATGTGAACCAGTAAATTACTTTCAAAACAAAAGCTTTGGGGCCCAACAGGAAACACAAGTGATTATTAGTGGTCAAGACCAAGTACAAACTAATCAATGCTTCAAAGTTTTAGAAATGTTAACAGTGTTTTTCTAATGGGATTCTGGAGCATGAAAAGAATGTATTGGGATGTGGTTTGAATGCACTATATTATTGAAATCGGAGACCATTAACGAAAATGTTATAGTGCAACATAGACTATGAGAAAAGAACTAAAAGTAAAATTCAGATAAACACTAAATATTAATAGTGATTCAGCTGTCCCCTAAGCTGCTAAAAAATCGTATTACCCAAACCATAGTATTAAAAAAGAAAACTTATACACTATACTAAATTATTTTGTATTTTATAAGAAAGAGTAATCTCTCAAAGCTGTAAATCATTTTTTTATGAAAAGTAAAGAATCTGGGATCAGATGCTAAAATAGGTATCATATTAAATGGCTAAACTTTAAGCAAACCCACACTACTGTAAACTCAATACTTTCATGACCAAATGCAAAATCCCTTTATACTGCAGGTACAAATTCATTTTAAAGCTCTGCAACTCAATGTCCCTACAAGTTTATTAAGAAAAGTTAGGAACGTTTCAAATGAGTATTGCTTTAATGTATTTATCTTTTATTCCAACTTATGTTTAGATATGTTCTTTTAATGCCATGAATCCAAACAGAGTGTTGCAGCATAATAAAAAAGTATTTTCTTTGTTTAGATTTATTGGTAGTGGTATTGGAGAAATGTATCTCTGGATTCATGTTTTTAAAAGGACTGTTTAATATTTGATAATAATGTAAAATATATGCTGAATTTCCCACACTGCCAATTGCCTGGGAAGCTCTGAGTAATAGATATGTTTAAGCAGGTATTCTGCAAATTTCTGAAATATTGGCTTATCTAAAATTATGGATAAAAGAAATCCAACAGACAATAACTTCCCAAAGCACTGCCAGAGTTCTGAATCAAATTCAGCCTTATTCTGCCATAGAAGGGATCTGCAATCTTGTTTCTACAATTCCTTACATGTGTACATTAGAAAATGAATCAATTTCAGAAACAGATCTGGACCAAATGTTGTGGTAGGCCCTCCTCATACACGAGAAAACCTTGCATTTCCATCAGTTTTGTGATTCATTGAATATAAAAGAGCACTGGTGTGAAGTATAACTTCCTATTATCTATTAGTGGTTAGATAAACCATTCTTATTCTCAAAATGCAATGATTTGCCTGTTAATGTTTCAACATGACTAAAATATAACCCAGTCAGTAAGTGAAAAGTATTTAGTTTTCAAATATCCCCGAAAACATGCATTTGTGAAAACATGCAGAATCAACTAAGAGTGTTTACAAAGTCATCATTACTATTGTATGACTGATCTCAGTATCCACAGCAAAAGAAATGGGGGAAAGTAGAAAACAAACAAAATATTACACAGTATGAACTATGGTCTGATCTCACTACTTTCCTGAAGGTGCCAAGGCTCTGTCCCCACGGCTGAATTAAGCAGAATTTATTTTGTAGTCACCACAATTAGGAATGTATTTAGTGAAGATTTAGTTAAGAAAAACCAAGAGATCCCCAGAAAATGTGTGCAATACCATTTTCTTTCAACCACAAGCTTTGCTCAATCTGTACTCAATATGGAGTACAAAATATGAACAGAGATATGCATGCTCTGGAAAGCAAGATAATACACATGGGGCAAATACAAAAAGTACTCTATGAGCACCAAGGATATTTGAAAAGGGTATAAAATATCATGTGAGTGACAAAAAGAACTATAACACATTTTGACAGCTTCTATCTGGCATATAAAGAACTTAAATTCTTGTACGCATATGAAAAGTTCTACAGCACTATAGGACTTACGTGATTTGATATTGGCGTCTCGATAGGTACCATTCAGAATTGCAAGTTCCATTAACTGCATCTTTTTAAGGCTATCTTCTCCCTCTGCCTGCACAAATGAAATACATTATTAGCAAAGCAGTTTATAATCTCATAGCACAATTGCAAAGAATTTGATACAAGTTCTAAGTGATATATGAAATAGAAACACATTTATATAAAGGAAACTGATGCTGATGCTGCTCTAGTCACATAATGCCTTTTTATATGCTTTGTAAATTCAAAAGCCTACACCTTCCAATGCACCTATTAGATTTCAAGAATGGGTAAAAGCCACTGTAATTATACTATACTATGACAGTGCTATACAAAATAAATAGAGACTGCTTTCTTCTGGACAGCAATTCCAATGTATAAAACAATGCATGAAATCCTTTCTTTCAAAGGTAAAACAAATTTGGAAGAGGATAGGAAACTTTTTACTGAATTAGAGTTGTACAAAATATACTATGGAAGTAGTTTAAAGGGCTGAATTGAGTCTTAAGTCCAAACTGAAAACTCTCAAATGAATGCCCAACAAACTTCAAATTGTAACACAACTACCAATGCTTCCATGAGAGAAATCTACAAGCACAATATTCAAAGCTATGATCCATGCATATTTGCTACTTATAAGCCGAGTTTGGTTACGAAAACTTTAAGGGATATAATTTCTACAAAATTAAACTGTATGCAGCATTTCTATATCAACAGGCCAAAGTACAAACAGTAAACTAATTTTTTCTTTGTATTTATAAATATTGTTAGTTTGCATTCTAAAATATAATTGATTAGAGTTACTAATAAGCAGTAAACAAAAACTTAAGAATATATTATTTATAAAAATATTTTTATTGAAAAGTTTAACAGCAATAATAAGAAGTAATACAAACTAAAATAGAGGAGGAAAAATGAAAGAAAAGAAAAAACAAAAAGTGCAATAAAAAAGGAAGAGAACACGAGGGGTCCTTGGTGCTCTCTGAGCTTGCTTGTTTCTTGCAGATGTTTCATTACTCAAATTAGGTAACATCATCAGTGCTAGTAAGAAGTGCCATTCACTGTCAGTTTATATTCTAGTGCAGGGGTGTCAGTCGTCACGTCACGTGATGTGTCACGATGTATCGTGACTTTTTCCCCCTTGCCGGAGCTGGGGTGGGTACGGCCTCCATGTGACGCATCCGGCCCACGGGCCGGCAGTTTGACACCCCTGTTCTAGTGACTTGCCTAGCAGTGTTGGTGGGATGGTCTTAGAGATTCTTTGGTTGGGCTCTTTGACTGATGTTGGCTTCTTTGGTAGTTTATTGATTGGGATATTGTTTACTTAATTGTTGGTCTGATGTTAACCTTGGAGTTAATCTATGTTGATCTGGGTGCTGATTGCTGGTGGAGATGAGCTTGGGTGTTGTTGTTTTTTTCCTTTTTGGGCTGAGTGATAGTCTCGCTTACTTAGTCTTACTTACTCAGTTAATTTAAACTTCGCTCTCTAAAGTTAAATCATGACCCTCCAGTCTAATCATCAAAATGATACATCACAAGTTGATTTTTTAAATAAATATATAAATCTCTTATGGATATATATATATATATATATATATATATATATATATATATATATATATATATCTCCATAAGAGATTTCCAATCATCAATAAATGTACACATTATCCTTAGAACATTTAACTATGTACTGTTAATTGCAATATATCACCAATTCACAATTTCTAAAATTTATTTTATTTATATCTTGCCTTTATTATTTCTTTTATAAAAAAACACACGTCAGTGAACATATCTAATATTCCTTCCTCATATTTTCACAACAACAACAACAACAACAATCCTGTGAGATGACTTGGGCTGACTGGCCCAAAGTCAGCTAATTGGCTTTCATTGCTAAGGCAGGACTAGAACTCATGATCTCCTTATTTCTAGTCTGGTGCCTTAAACACTAGATGATACTGCTTAAATCAAATTCTGTAAAAATATAACAGAAAAGAAGCATGTCATTTTAGTTAATTAGCTATTATTAGATTGGCAATTACAGAAAACTGGTACAATGACTGTAGCAGTTTTAGAGATATATTCTTCTAAAACAAACACAATACTGTGTATATCAGTGAACTGAGAAGGAGCCGATTTCAATAAATAAGGAACAATGCTTATGCATGCTTTTCTTTTAGTTTAAAATAAAATAACTTATGCAAGCGTTTCATCTTTGAAATCACAATCGATCATAAACACATACCATCTGAAAAATGATCAGAAAAATATATTATTGAAATGTTAAAAAATTGTTAAAAAAATTGGTGATTACTAGAAATGTGCTTTGTAGGGCTATAGATAGTTGTATTTACTAGGCATTTTAATCCCTGTTGTAGTTTCTGATACCAATATTTTTTTTTGTCTCTAACAATCTTTTTTATTAATTTTTTTCCCCATCAACATATGTTATTTTTTCCAATCAACAAGTTGTCTGGTGTTTGCTAAGCTAATACATGTTCACTTCCTAATCCTTCATTCTTTTCTCTAACCAAGAATAAAATAAATTTCAAATTTTATAATAGTCCGTATCTTCTTTGTCTTTCAGCCTCATAGTTAGTCTGTCCATCTCTGCACATTCCAATATTTTCGTGATTATTTCTTCTTCTGGAGGCAATCCTTCATTTTTCCAGTACTGTGCAAAAATTATTCTTGCTGCTGTGGTAATATGTAGAATTAAATATAATTTCTGCTCATTAATCTTTTCAGACATAATGCCTAGTAAAAAAAGTTCAGGTTTAAAATCCACTTGTTCACCCAATATTTTTTCTAACCACATATGTATCTTTTCCAATAGGCCTTTGCCTTCCCACATGTCCACCAAATATGATAATACGTGCCTATGTTATGTTTACATTTCCAACATCTATCTGACATATTTTTAAACATTTTTGCTAATCTTGCTGGTAGAAGGTGCCATCTATAAAACATTTTATACAGATTTTCTTTGTATGAAGTTGACATTGTTAATTTATAGTTTCTTGCCCATAACATTTGCCATTTTTCTAATTCTATATCATAACAAAAAAAATTTGCCCATCTTATATCATTGTTTCTTTCACTTGTTCACTTTCCATATCTAAAATTAACAAAAAATATACATTTTCTTAATTAATTTCTCATCCGAGGTTAACAAAATCTTATCAAACATTCTGATCCTTGTAAAATCCATACATTTTTACATCTTTTTCATATCTACTTTGTATCTGCAAATGTGCCCACCAGGACAAATTTATTCCTAAATTTTCCAATTCTTGTTTAGATTTCAATTTCCCATCAATATCTAAAATATCTTTATATGTTCATACTTTTTCAAAATCTACCAGATTCAGATGTATAAATGCCTCCATCGTTGATAACCTACCCTGGAATTTTTGAATATATTTTAGTTTTAATTTTTTTCCTATACTGTTAGTAAGGCATTTCTTATAAAATGATTTTGAAAGTACTTATGAACTTATGTTTTTCCCATACCATAAAAAAGCATGCCACCCCAATTGTAAATCATGTCCCTCTAAATACAATAACCTTTTATTTCTGAGTGTTATCCACTCTTTCACCCATATTAACACAGATGCTTGATAATACAATGTCCATTCAGGCAACCCAAAACCTCTATTTTCCTTAGCATCTTGTAATGTTTTCATCTTAATTCTAGCTTTTTTCCCCTGCCAAATAAAGTTCAAAACCAATGAATTTAAATTTTGAAAGAATTTTCTCTCAAGTTTTATCGGGATCATTTGAAATAAAAATAAAATCTTCGGCTACACATTCATTTTTACTGTAGCAATTCTTCCTAATATTGACAATTGGAGATTTTTCCATCTTTCCAAATCTAGCTTTATTTGCTTCAATAATTTTATATAATTGTCTTCTTTTATTGACGAACATTTAGCCGAAAGATGAATACCTAAATATTTAACTTTTTTCACTATTTGTACCTCTGTTTTCTCTAGTATTTGCCTTTTTTGTTTATCTGTGAGGTTCTTTACTATTACTTTAGTTTTATCTTTATTTATTTTTAGTCCTGCCACTTTTCCATATTCTTCTATCTTTTCCCATAGTTTAGGAATCATCTCTAAAGTTTCTTCCAAAATAAACACTAAATTATCGGCAAATGCTTGTAACTTATATGTTTCATCTTTTATTTTCAATCCTTTAATTTCTATATCTTGTCTTATCCTTTTATTTAATACTTCCAGAGTAAAGATAAATAATAATGGGGATAGTGGACATCCTTGTCTCGTGCCTTTCCTTATCTCAAAGTTCTCAGTATGATCTCCATTCACTATCACTTTTGCTGTCTGGTTACTATATATAGTTTTTATCATATTTATAAAATTCTTTCCAAAATCCATTATTTGTAATTGTTAAACCATAAATTGCCAAGAAACATTGTCAAACGCTTTTTGAGCGTCTAAAAACACTAATGCTAATTGTTTCCCTGGGTGTAGTTCATAAAATTCTAATACGTCCATTATCACCCTTAAATTATTTTTGATTTGTCTCTTCGGTAAAAAGCCGTTTTGATCTGGATGTATAAACTCAATTAAGTATCTTTTCAGTCTCTCTGCCATTATTGAAGTAAAAATTTTGTAATCCACAAGAGTAATGAAATCGGTCTATAGTTCTTAATATACATCAAGTCTGAATCTTCTTTTTGGTATCAAAGTACCGTAAATGCCGGCGTATAAGACGCCTTCCGCGAGCGCTGAAATCGGCGCCAAAGACGGGGGTCGTCTTATACGCCGAGTTGTCTTATACGCCGGAAATACTGGTAGTTTCCGGCGTATAAGACGACATTCTAGGAATGCGGCCCGGCTATAAAGACGGGGGGCGTCTTATACGTCGGGTCGCCTAATACGCCAGCATATACGGTAATATTTGCTTCTATCCATGTATTTGGGAGTTTGGCCTCTAACAATAGTCCATTGCAAACCTCTTTCAGTGGTTCGCTTAATATATCTTGTAGCTTTTTATAAAGTTCCTCCGGTAGCCTGTCTGGGCCTGGTATTTTCCCGTTCTTTTGTC